TTCTTCTACGGCATGGATTTCCGTTTTCCTTCTATTATTCCTTGCATTATATTTTGAAGTAATGCGTATTTATGTACTCTCAACAGGTGACTCAAATATTCGAGTTTTCTTCGTTTGATCGTTGACAAAATTTCTGGGTCTTTTCCTAGCCTTCGTATTACTTCAAAGTTCGTGACTCTTTCAACTCAACTTATTTTCAGTATTCGACGGTAGCACCACATCTCGAAACTTTCAATATTTTTTATTTAGTTCTGTTTGAGAGTTCAGGCCTCTACACCGTATAATAGCGTGTTAAATACGTAGCCCCTTAGCATTCTTAATCGTAGAGGGATTCTTATATCTCTGTTGCAGAAGAATTTCCTCATCTTTATGAAGGTCTGCGACTGCTTAAATTTGCTACCCAACCTGCTGCTTCGTCTAATTGTTCGTACACTTACGTTAGTATTCCGGACGTTCTGAAGTCGATTTCTGATTTATCCTAGTTGTGGCACTGATGATCTCTTAGACTTTGTAAGAGGATGAAACGATTATCGCGGGCATTAGACCTTCGTTGGGGACTGGTTCCAGGTCATCTAGTGTAAGAACCGGTTGCACGAAACGTGTAAAAATAAGGTACATAGTACTTTTAGATATTGGACACTTTTGACCGTCTTGAATCAACGCAACAATAGCAACCGCTCTTTCGGGATTTACAAGCATAATTCTTGATATTCAGTGGTGAGTGCGATATCACCGGCTTTTTAACGTAAGAGATAGAAAACACAGTTACCTTGTGAAATAAAAGGAGATGAAACTCGTAGAGGTGGGAAATAATCGATAGAAACCTATAATTTACATTACATTGCATTACCACCATCGACAGTCTCACACCTTTAGACGTTAGACGTGGCTATTTGACTTCAGTCATAATTATACGGATACCCTCAAAAATATTTTATTTTAATAATTTCTGATGTTAGAATAAATACTTGAATAAATTAAGATATGTTATAGTAAAAAACATTCATTAGTAGCGATTTTAAATTATAAATCTTTAAATTTACTTAATAGTAAAAATAACTCAACTGAAATATTTGACTAAAATAAAGGTAGGTATGTTTTGTCTGGAAACACTTAATGTATGTGAAATTGGTGTAGTGGTTAGGGACGTTGTCTATTGACGAGAAAATTGGGGTTCAATTCCACACCAAGGATAAAATTTTTGTTTTATCAATAAAAAAATAATAGAAAATATGATACATATTAGGTAACAAATTTTCGAAAAAACTCATTATTTACAATTTATTTTTATTCCAATGTTATAAAACGGAAATACAAAATGATTCAAATTCAATTCATACAGTCTTCAGTTGTGAATGCAAAATAATCCGGTGAAGACTGTTTATATCAAATCCATCACTAAATTCTCAATGTTAATATCAATTCCTCTGTACAGATAATGATTTTCAAAACAATTGACAACATTGGAATGGATGCGCGCGAAGCAAAGCCTTTAAGCCATCAAATAATAACATATCGAGAAGTGTTTTTGCACGGTAAACAGAAACTTTTTATTGAAAAAACAATTCGTGAAAATGGTTTTAACGGTCGAGGAAAAAGTGCAAATTGTTGTCTGGCATGTGAATGGATTCTCAGACAACATGATTAGACAACAATTTGTAAATATGTTTCCAAATAGGCCGGCTCCATCACGATCAACAATTCAATCTATTATACGTAATTTTTTTACTTATGGATCCGTGTTCGCTCCAAGAGGAGTTCGTAGGCGAAGGGAGGTAAATCCAGATTTGGAACTAAGAGACACTTTGATTTGTGCAAGTATTGAGCAAAATCCTACCCAATCAACATCTCGTCTCGGAGAACAATATGGAATTTCAAGATTTAGAGTTGGTAAAATTTTGAAAAGGCATGGATACCGACCCTATAAACTTCATAAATCCAACGAACAATTCCCTGGGGATCAATATAGACGTTTAGAATTTTGTCAAACTGCAATGGAAATGTCACATCAAGATGAACATTTTTTAGAGAACGTCTTGTTCACCGATGAATGTACGTTTTCATTGCATGGCCGTCACAATTCAATGAATGCTCGGTATTGGTCCCGAGGAAATCCTCGTCAGATTTATGTTGCTCGTACCCAGCGTCCTCAAAAAGTAAATGTTTGGGGAGGCATAATAGGGAATCATGTCATTGGTCCATTTTTTATAGACGGTATGTTGACTGGGCGGAAATACTTGGAACTTCTGCAAAATCAAATTGTCCCAGCCCTTCGTAATTTACCAATTCCTTTCGATTCCATATGGTTTCAACACGATGGTTGTCCTGCACATAATTCTCGCATCGTCAGTGAATATCTCAGTGCGACTTTTCCTAATCGATTGATTAGTGGACACGGAGATATTTTTTGGCCTGCAAGATCACCTGATCTTGCACCTTGTGATTTTTTTATGTGGGGATATATCAAGTCCAAACTATATGGAATTGAAGACGATAGGCCTAATTCTCTCCAAGAATTAAGAGAAAAGATCTTTGATTCAATGAGAGGTATTAGTCCAGAAACATTAACTAATGTTAGACGAAACTTTTATAATAGATTGGGTTATTGTTCTGCTGCTAATGGAGGCTTATTTGAACATTTTTTGTAAATACATTTCATTAGAATAAAATACGTTTATTTAGAATATTTTTATAGAATTTCTGCTTATTTAAACATTTTTTGTAAGTACATTTATTTAGAACGTTCTTTTATGTTTGAAGAATTTTTACTTTATTTTAGAAAGTACATTGTTTTTTCAATAAGATTTTCATGTTTTACTATAAACACTTCTAATAAAGACTGAAATAAATGTTTTATGATTTAAAGCAAAACGATATAATATCTGCATAATTTCAAATTTTTAAAAAAGTAAAAACTTTTTGTAGGATTTGAACCCTAACCGCCTGCATGAGTACATCGTGCCTTCAGCCCTGATCTATCAGACTTTTATAATTCTTTAGTGACAGTTTGGGTTATTATTCTGCTGCTAATGAAGGTTTATTTGAACATATTGTAAATACGTTTATTTACAATATTTTTTTATTTTTGTAAAATTTTTACTTATTTAAACATTCTTTTAATTTTGAAGAATTTTACTTTAGTTTCGAAAGTACGACGACACTATTTTTTCAATAAGATATTTATGTTTAACTTTAAACACTTCAAATACTAGTAACGACTGACATAAATGTTTAGTGATTCAAAGCAAAACGATCTCTGCAAAATTTCAAATTATTAAAAAAGAAAAAAGAAAACCTCATGTAGGTTTTGAACTCTAATCATCTGCGTCGCAGAGTCGAATTCTTACCACTAATCCACGAAGGATTGCTAATTATTCTGTGACAAGAGTGTATGAAACTCCTCAAATCATAGTAGAAATTATTCTTGGTTAATAATTTAAAACTTTAGAATAAATAATCACTATTAATTAAATTATTTTATTCACATTTTTGCTTTATTGTGGTCAATCAGTTTTTACTTTATCTAAATTAAAAAATGGAAATACGTCACACATACGACGTCAAACTGTCAAACATAATAATTATGACCGAGGTGATTTAGATCGAAGGTAACGTCTAAAGGTGTGAGACTATCGATAGTCGTAATGTAATGTAATGTAAATTATAGGTTTCTATCGATTATTTCCCACCTCTACGAGTTTCATCTCCTTTTATTTCACAAGGTAACTGTGTTTTCTATCTCTTACGTTAAAAAGCCGGGTGATATCGCACTCACCACTGTTAAATGAACGCAATTCAACTTGAAATTTTGTTTGACATTTGATTCGAGTTGACAGTTTACCTACATCAACAAGAACAAATGAATAACAATAGAATACCAACAGCTACCTTTGCACTTTTAAAAATGATAAGAATAGTGTATTCTTTTTTGATTTTTTTTTGCTTTTTTTTTTTTCGGATAAGCACTTAGGTTTTATTAGAAATTACTTAAAACAGTTTGTTTCGTTTTGTGTTTACGTTATTATAATAAAAGTATAAAGAGAATTAAAATTTCAAGTTTTTATTCTAAAAATGCACTGTTTTAATTTGAAATAAAAATTAATAGGATTTTTATCGCTGTTAGTTATGTCAAGTCCTCAATGCTTAGTTATACCTTTTGAACAATAACTCTAGTAAATTCTTAATAAAGAAAAGGAAGAAAATAAAATTTAAACGTTTTGTGTGCCACTAGGGTCTAGAATATTACAGACTTTTGTCGATAGGACATTTTGATCGGAAGGTATCGAATTTTAACCGTCGACTTAATACAAATTTTATTTAAAATTGATTTCGCACGCGTTAATTGTCATTCAAAATCGCCGGTCGCTTCAAGCATTGTTTCTGAGGAGAAACGGTTCATTTTACACAAAAAGTGCTAAGAAAAATTTTTGTTCAAAATTATCTCAGCTACACTTCGTATTTGAAACAACTTTTTCTAGGTCGTACAGATTCGTAGTCAATCGATTTTACAAAATCCGTTTTTAAAGCATTAGAACACATAAAAACTGTCTCTAAAACAAAATGGGTATATTTTAAAATCAAAGCTTGTCCTGAATATTTTATTTTTAAATTACTGCAGATTAAGGCGCGCATGTAGGCCTTTTATATGATGGATTTATAGGTCAGCGCAATTGAAAGAAGGAAAAGAATTTTCTTTTACTAGGACATAAGAAATTTAATATTCCATTACCACAATTATCAGACTTAAATTCGGACGTGCTTCCTAAACTAAACATCTTTTTAAAATTAATGCTGTATCAACTGCTACATGTAAACATTGTGGTAAAAAAAGAAACCTTAAACAATTTAACAATTTTCTAAGTGTTTAAAGCATATTGATGGATCAAAAACCTTATTATAATCTTTCTAACATTATTTATTATTGACATTTGCTGTACTGCCCGTTTTATCTCCAATACAGTGATTACAAATATACATTCTTGAATTCATTTTCTTTGCAGATACCAGTCAGGAGTTGTAAAGTCTGAGTACGGCAACGAAAGAATACACCTCAACGCAGATGTCGACTTGAACAGTAACGGTCCTGTCGTCAAAGGTTCGGCCGTCGTGGGCTATCAAGGATGGTTGGCTGGTTACCAGGCTGCCTTTGACGTCCAAAACTCAAAATTGGCTAAGAGCAACTTTGCATTAGGATTTTCAACATCAGGACTTTGTTCTTCATACATGTGTGTAAAGTATAAATATTCTAAACCATGTGGCCATACTTATGTGCAGACTTATTTATTGATTTCCTCTAGTATATATGCAAAATACATGTGATGTGACTATTAAATATGAAAACTGTTGTTGCCACAGAAATGCTACGTGCATTCAAACACCGTCAACCGACAATTCTTTATCGTGAAGCTTTTTCTTCCAAATCAATTATTCACTGCACAAAAATATTTTCAAAAATTATTGTCAATAAATGTCACTAAACTACCAATTCCTGGAAATCTCCACATGATTCTTGTGGGAAGGATTGTAAGAAATCAGATTGATAACATGCTAGTAAATAAGAGAGATAGGAACAGCTGTACATCTGTCAAAACATATCCGGAGGCAGACATAAATTCTGATCATGTACCAGTTGTAGGTGATTTCAAAGTCAGAATGAAGAAGGTTACAAGTAAGTTGATGAAGAAGTATGATGTTAGAAAACTGAAAGATCCCAATGTTCGACTGAAAAATGCTAAACAGGCACCCTAAGAAGGAACTGGCAATTAAAACTAAAAACTATAATAATTAAAAAAAGAAACAAATACAGCACATTAAAAGATTTGAAGTAGAAACAACTGAATGAAGAACTGCCAAGGAGTAAAATTTAACGGCTGAAACTTTTATTATGATTAGTATGACTTATTTCTGACGTATTTGTGTGTTCTACTTCGTTATGACTCAAAGCTCTTTAAAAAATCCATTACCTCTACCATTAGGTATCCAGTTCCAATTGTATCCTCCAGAGATAGAGGAAAGGTGTATATATAGAAGATGACAATCATCTGTACAACGTCAGTCTCGCTGTTTAATTGTCACACCTCGTGTATACAGTACATTTGCTCTGCAAAAACGTCGATAAAATGACAGATTTTTGCATTATTTGAATTAAAATTATTCTTTTTTTTTTTTTTTTTAATTGAACACTAGTACCTAAAGGGCATATAATAGTTTGTTAGGCATTTTTAAAATGAATGTTATTCTAATATCTAGTGAACATGACAGTAACGACGGCCAAACGTTCGGCGGTTCCATCTACCAAAAAATCAACCCAAATTGGAAACAGCCATCAACTTGTCTTGGGCAGCTAGCGGAGAAAAGACCGACTTCGGTTTGGGTTGCAAGTATGACTTGGATGCCGACGCATCTCTTCGCGCCAAGATCAACAACGCCAGTCAAATCGGTTTAGGATACCAACAAAAACTACGTGATGGTAAGTCAAAAACATTATTTACTATTTTCATTGTATGAGGTCATATCGTCGGCTGTATGCAATAGGGACACAACACAAAAAACTGGTAGAAGTTTGTGTGCCAATAATTTTGTCTTATTTATTTTACTACATGGATTGGAATTTTTGAAAAAAAAAAGTAAATGTTGGTTTACTTGGGAGAGCGTTAGGTAGCCTTTAATTAATTGTAACACAGACTTTTTAATTCAACCCCTATTTTGAGTTGTGCCACTATTGCATATCAACATTTTGTTTTTCGAGATCAATAAAGGCATTGTAGGATTTAAAAAAAAGGTGTTTACGAACCCTGTTCATAGTTTCGTTACAAAATGCTTTATGTATGCTATGTTTACCTCTTTGACCTTTGCTTATAAAGCCACTTTCCGTCTTCCCATTAACAGTTCGAATACATCTATTTAGTAAGTCCAATGGTAGATATAAAAAATCTTTTGTACACTCCTATTTTTTCGGATATTAAATGTTTTACGTCCTTCTATATATCTAAATTTATTCCTTTTATTTAATGTGACACAATTTCAAAATTCTCACTGATACAGTTTGAAAATATCTAAAATTGTCTGCTATAGTGGCACAACTGAAAAGTTGTGGTATAACATAGAAACTTGATATTGACACAATTCAACTTCCGCTGCCCAACTAAAAAGGGCCAGTATTGCAAAAAACAATTGATCTCAATCAACAACATGTCATAGCGACACTATTGACGTCTAACAGACATTTTTGCTATTATTATTGTGCCAGTTTTGCAGGTCATAAATGAGCTGAGTGGTCCAAGTCAGAAATTCTGGTATTCTGGAAACGATAACTCCAAAGTTAACATTTATGGTATTAAAATGGGGAATATAGATACTGACTATTATTAGGGATGATTTTCAATATGATGATTTCTGTATATTCCCATTTAACGCAAAAATGTTAACTTTAAGTCAACGTTTCCTGAAAACTTTAAATCATCGTTTCCATAATACTATTTCTGACTTAGACCACTTCCGGTTTTAAGCCCTTTGGTGATGTTAACTCAATTTTGTCTGTTTTTGAGTTAAGTCACTATTGCATACAGCCAACGATATATTCAGGTAGAGTCTGCATATACTATAGTACTACAGTAAACTTAAAAGATATTTCATTTGCAGTTTCTGTCACTTCTGGTGGAGTTAAATTACTCTTCGTCAATATCCATCTTTTGATTTTTCAAATACACAGAATTTTAAACAATAAAGTAAATAATGACAGATAGTACTAACAGCGACTACTTCATTTTAAATTTTTTAGTGGGAATATAAATAGGTATATGTTTGGTTGCTTACACCACAGGTCACTGCCAATAACATCATCATTATCAATGGTGCTACAGCCCTATGAAAGAGCCTCAACCTTCCCAAGTCTATTACGCCAGGCAGTCCTATCCATTGCCAACCGTTGCCAGTTTGCTGCGCCTATCTTTCTACCATCCTCATCTACACCATCCTTCCATCTGAGTTTTGGCCTACCCCTTTTTCTACTTCCCACAGGTTGTGACATAAGGATTCTTCTAGGAGGGTTGTTCTGCGGTGATCTTGCCAGATGTCCTGCGCATCTTAGTCTTCCTATTTTTATGAGAGATACTACGTCTTTACCACTAAATATATATTTATATCTGTGATATATCTCATAGTTGCACCTCCTTCTCCAAACACCATTTTCACAGATGCCACCAAATATTCCTCTCAGGATCCTTCGTTCAAATATAAGCAGAAGGTCTTCGTCTGCCTTGGAGATGGTCCATGTCTCCGATTCATATGTCAACACTGGCTGTATAAGGGTTTTGTATATGGTTATTTTTGTTTTTTGGCTTAAGTTTCTACTTCTCATATGTCTACTCAGTCAAAAATAGCATCTGTTTGCCATGATTATCCTTCGCTTGATTTCTTCCGTTATGGCGTTCTCTTTGGTGATGCCTAAGTATGTGAATTTCACCACTTCAAAGGTAGAGTTATCAACCGTGAATTGGGGACCGATGTTCCTGACTCTATTGTTGGGTGTTGATGCCATCATCTTAGTTTTCTCCTCATTTACTTGCAGGCCCATAGATTTTGAGGCATTTGAGAAGGTAGTATACATTTCTTCTAGCTTGCGTGTTGTGCGGGCAACTTTCTGCTTGGCCGCAGCGCGTCTCCCTGTCGCAGCCCAACATGCGTTCCAAACGCCTGTGATTGTTCGCCCTGTATTTCGACTTCGCAAACCACATTACGCATTGTAGCCCTAACCAATCTTATCAGTTTATCGGGGATGTGGAATTCATTCATGGCTTCATACAATTACTGCCAATAACAGAGCGTTTAATTAATTTATGCAAGCAATGTATGTTGTGTTGTCTATAATGAAATCGTTCATTAATAGAAAATCATTCATTAATAGCGGTCATTAATCAATGATTTTGAGGGTGTTAAAATTGATCATAAATGGAAGGTCGACGGAAAATAAATATTTAATAACTGATCATATTTATTAAATGTAATGCAGAAAATGAATAATCAAATTGACATAAAGTGAATATATACTCATATGAAACATTTGTTTTAGGTGTGACTCTAACTTTGTCTACCCTAATCGACGGCAAGAACTTCAATCAAGGTGGTCACAAGATTGGTTTGGCCTTGGACCTGGAGGCTTAAATATGTTATTACATCTTGTTCCACAAATACATATTAGCGCCCACTTAATATATTTAAGAATCCTGTATTGTAGATAATAATTATTTAAACGGGACTTTAGTGTATACTTTATTACTCCCGTTGTGTTTATTTCAGTTGCTCCTCCCAATTACTCCTTTTTTACACACCATGTACACTATACATATGTTGTTTTTATTATTAAACTCTGAAAGGCGGCATTCTCAAAGGTTGGTGTCAAATTAGGAGCATATGCATTTTATGTCAAAAGAATTAGATTGGTCTTAAGATGGCTACAATCCGCTTTGTGTAGTTTTTGCAATTTTGCAGTAAATGTGGATTTAATAATAAAAACATTTCTTCTCTCCCAACGTGTTATTGTTGGTCTGTGGGGGAGTATCAAGTTTGACCTGTTTATTGTATGTCAAGCAGAGAAGAAAAAAAGCTTCTAATGGTTCCAGTCTTTTTTTTATTTTAGTTGAGAGTTTTGTTTCAAATTGATTGTTCCGGAAAATAATATTGTACACAAAATGATTCAATATAAGATTTTAAAACTAGTTTTATTCAATAAATCCTAACCCAATTGTTCCATTAAAAAATGTAAAAAACGGCACTCAGGCACAGAGAAAGTTTGAACCTAAAGTAAATTCGACTTCAAGCTAGGAAAGGTCTAAACAAAGGCACGCTAAAGATATAATATAAAACAGACAAACTTTGACAAATGCAGATTATAGTACACCAATTGTTTAAGGCTGTTTTATTGGTGCACCAAAATTATAGGGACTGTTATTTACCGACAAAATGTCTCGAAATTTGGACACAATATTCGAAATTATGTTGCTTTTAAAATGATGGTTTTACTTTTTTTATTTTTTTGAAACTTCTGTTGAAAAATTCGATTATACTGTTTAACGTTCTATTATAACCAAACTTTTTACGCCCATCACTTGAAAGTTTTTTTTTCTGTAATCGTTGATTTGTTTTCACCTTTCTGTGTCCAGTAATAATCTGAGAAAAGCGTGTTCCAACTTTGAAGAAAATTGAATAAAAAATAAGAAAATCTAATAGTGAAACGTGTTACTCATCATTGTCGTTTATTTTCACCGTTATCGCCTTCGTGACGTCAAATCTCATAAACGTACGATCAGTTAGTTCGTGTTAAAACTAATTTGGATGGAGAGTAATGCATTTGTTATTATTAAACTAGCCGTCGGCTGCGCCACTGAGTAAAGATAGTCTCGAGTGAGCAGCAGAGTTGGGTCAGATACGGATACTCAAAATGTATCCGGATACTTTTTAAAAAAGTACGAATACTTTCATTTAAAAATGTATCCGGATTTTTTTTTATAATGGCTTTGGCAGTTAGCCATACAGCCAGTTACATGATCTTTTAATTTCATTAGGCGCAGTTAAAATTATTTGCAATCGAAGTATCCGGATAATTTTTAACGGATACTTCCTAGGATATTTTGAAGGATACTTTTTTAATGACATAAATTATCTAGTATAAAACTATGTGATGTGCATGTATTTTTAATATAATAATAATAAAAATACATTAAATGATGGAGAAAGAAATCAGAAATACTCAAAATATTGTTTATTGCTTATGAATAATAAAACTAGAACATAAACTTATAAGGAAACATTAAATTAAAATAAAAACGCACGAATACAGAAAATATTCCAATTGCTGACGAAGTCAAGAGTGAAGTTCCTTTGAATTTGCCTTTGTAAGTACCAATATATATTATTATTCGATATGCCAATAGGCGTATCGATCATAGTTGCAAAAGAGAAAAGTCTTTCAACTGGTGCTGATGAAGGTAAGAATGTGTTGTACTTTATTGACACCCTTTTTAAGATTGGGTATTCATTTAAGATGTTTAAATTGGTTCTTGTGTCCTCCAAATATCTTAGCAACTCCAACTGTACTTTTGAAGTTTTAATATTGATGCTGGAACCCTGTTCATTCTGTGTATAATTAAAAGTACAGCTGTTGTCCACTTGCTGGTCTCGAAAATTGCTGAAATCAAAAGTCATTCAAATTTTGTCATTCCATTTTTGTTTTGGCGACAGTTATAATGCATTTTTTTTATATCTTCTATAGTTTTTTTGGGATTTTTTACATTGTACCACTTAAGCTTAAATTTGGGAAGAACTGCAGCTATAATTGGATCTTCCCATTCCAAATTTAAAATGTTTACAAAACGAGTATTTAAGCTTTTAATGCACAGTTTTGCTAGATGTTCTCCTCCATATTTTAATTTCATTTGGCCAAGAAGTTTCTCATATTTATTAATTCATGAAATTAAACTGGGTAACAAATATCCGATATAAAAAATATCAGAAGTAGCTGGTGTTAATCATAAGAAAACTCTACATACTATAACCGATTCGTCAGGAAAAATGATAATAGACGAACATGAAATTCGAACAACCTGGTGTAATTATATAAGTGAACTGTATAATGATGATAGACCCGAAGAACTGGAGCCTTTAGTTGAAGGTGAAGGACCAGAAATACTAAAATCAGAAATACTGCATGCTATAAAGTTAGGAAAGAACAAGAAAGCTGTTGGCCCTGATAACATACCGACAGAGATGTTAAAGCTTATAAATAAGAACATTGGAATACTGGTCAAGCTTTTCAATGATTTTTATTCGACTGGTGATATTCCTGAAGATTAGTTAAAGTCCGAATTCATAACACTACCAAAAAAACAACGTCAGAAAAACTGTAGCGATTATAGAATGATAAGCTTTATGAGCCACACTTTGAAAATATTTCTACGCATCATCCACAGTAGAATCAGAGATAAATGTGAAGAACACCAGGATGAAACACAATTTGGCTTCAGAAATGGACTGGGAACTCGGGACGCCCTCTTTGCACTAAATGTATTACTGCAGAAATGTCGAGATCACAGGAAAGACGTCTTTTGCTGTATTTATTGATTATGAAAAGGCCTTTGATCGAGTACAGCATCACAAATTAATTACAATATTAAAAAATAAAGGAGTTGATAATCAAGACATACGATTCATAGAAAAGTTATACTGGCGTCAAACAGCGACAGCTTGCATAAACGGAAAATTAACAGAAATATATAAAATACAAAGAGGTGTCAGACAGGGTTGTATACTATCCCCACTGTTATTTAATTTATATTCAGATAGAATATTTAAAGATGCGCTGCATAATTTGGAATGGGGCGTGAAAGTTAATGGAATTCTGATAAATAGAATCAGATATGCAGACGATACAGTTATTTTAAGTGATGACATGAATGGACTACAATGCCTTTTAAATGCCATTGATACAGTGGAAAGAGAGTTTGGCCTAAACATAAACTGTTCAAAAACAAAACACATGGTGTTTAGCCGTTTAGCACATCAAGATGCACGATTATATGTTGATGGTCATATAATTCAAAGAGTGTCCAGTTTTAATTATTCTGGTTGCCATATTATTGAACAACTAGATCCAGATCAAGAGATAAAATGTAAAATCGAGATAGCCCGCACGACATTTTTAAAAATGAGGTCATTCTTCTGTAATGATAACTTGCAACTTCAACTTCGAAAGCGCATGGTTAAATGCTACATTTGGTCAGTCCTCTTATACGGTGTCGAAGCATGGAAATTAAAAATATCCACCATTAATCGTCTGGAGGCCTTTGAAATGTGGCTGCACAGACTGCACTGACAAATGTGGCAGTCCTTGAGAGAGCAAATGCTGCTCGCGAGCTGCTTGATAACATCAAATGTAGAAAGATGGCCTATTTTGGACACGTAGTAAGAGGAGACCGATATAATATTCTTCAACTTATTATGATGGGTAAAATCGAAGGACGCAGAGGAATCGGTAGAAAGCAGGCCTCTTGGTTGAAGAATATCAGGGAGTGGACAGGAATAAGAAAAGCTGAGCAACTCTTTAGAATAGCTCAAGACAGACAGTTTCGCCATGTTAATCGCCAACGTCAAGGGGACTTGATAGGGCACGTTAAGAAGAAGAACAAATATCCAAAAGATACATTGTCTTCACCTTGTAACAAATCTAACGTTAAGGCCAAAGGTTTCATAACTAAACAGTATTCCTCTAGGTATAACAGTTCAGTTTCCTTAAAAGGTTCTAACGTTAAATTTTGTTGCAAAATGGAAGTTTTTCTTTTGCTTTAAGAATCTGCGAAACTTCATCAAAAGTGGAGTTCCATCTAGTGGAACTTATTATGTTACATTTTTAAGAAACAAAAATGTCACATTGTTTATAAATTATCAATATCTCTATTACACTGTAACACAAAACCTCGCCTTAAACGTCTGTTGTCTGTCTCAACTAAAACACAAATCACAAATGAACTAACGAAAAACTTTTTCTTCTGTACTCGCTAGATAAGAATTTGCAGGATTCTTCCTGTAAAAATCAAACGTGTTACTGCCTGAGCTTTTGATATTGAATTTGACCAGTCGAGTTTTCAAATTTTAAACTTTTTAAGGGGTGTACTTATTTGTACATGTAGGTACACTAAAATAAAATTATAAATATTAAGATGTACTGTATTATAATCCGAAAAATAATTTCTAATTATATAGGGTACAAAAAGGGGTTCCTGAAATGAGAGATATAGAAAATATAAAAAATA